ACCCAAGGAGGGGTCTCTATGAGTCAGACCAACTTGACAGCAGTGAGTGAATAATACATGGCAGTGGTTCAAATCCACCAACCACTCCTCAGAAGGAAGATTGAGGAATCTACTTCTGTAATGATGTTGTTGTTGTTGTTGGGTGCCGTCGAGTCGGACCCGACTCATAGCGACCCCTCCTTGGGTTTCCGAGGCAGTATCACTACCACCTCAGAAACCCAAGGAGTCATCTCTATGAGTCGGATCTGATTAGATGACAGTGAGTAAGTGAGTTAGTTAGTTAATACATGGCAAAAAGAAAAATATTCCAATTGAAAAATAGGCAAAAGTCATGAATAGACACTTCACCAAAGAAGATATTCAGGCAGTCAACAAATAAATGAAGAAATGCTCATGATCATTAGCCATTGTTGTCGTTAAGTGCCGTTGAGTCATTTCCGAATCATAGTGACCCCATGCACAGAAGAATGAAACACTGCTCGATCCTACACCAGCTCCATGATTCCTGCTATACTTGAGGCCATCATCACAGCCACCATGTCAATACATCTCTCTGAAAGCCTTCCCCTCTTTGTCGACCCTCCACCTTATGAAGCATGGCATACTTCTCCAGGGAATGGTGCCTTATGACAACATGACCAAAGTAGGTGAGACACAGTCTGGCCATTCTCACTTCCAAGGAGAATTTCAGGTGCACTTCCTCCAGGACAGATCTGTTAGTTCTTTCAGGAGTCCATGGTACTTTCAGTATTCTCGCCAGCACCACAATTCAAAAGCATCAACTCTTCTTCGGTCTTCCTTATGCATTATCCAGCTCTCACATGCATATGAGGTGATTGGAAATATCACGGCTTGTGTCAGACACACCTTAGTCCTCAAGGAGACATTGTTGCTCCTCAGCACTTGAAAGAGTTCCTTCGCGGTTGACCTTCCCAGTGTTACACGTCATCTAATGTCCTGACTGCTGCTTCCATTGGCATTGATTGTAGAACCAAGCAATGTGAATTCTTTGACAACCTCAATCTTCTCTCCGTTTATTGTGATGCTGCTCATTGGTTGAGTTGTGAGGATTCTTGTTTGCTTTATATTGAGACGTAATCCATACTGCAGATTGTATTCTTCAACCTTCATCAGTAAGTGCCTCAAGTCATCCTCATTTTCAGCAAGCAAAGTTGTATCATCTGGGTTTCACAAGTTGTTAATGATTTTTCCTCCAATCCTGATGCCACGTTTTTCTTCATATAGTCCAGCTTCTCGGATTATTTGCTCAGCATATTGATTGAATAAAGTGTGGGGAAAGGCTACAACCCTGACACACTCCCTTCTTGATTGTAAACCATGTAGCGTCCCCTTGTTCCACTTGAATGACAGCTTCCTAGTCAAGGTACAGGTTCCTCATAAGTACAATCAAGTGTTCGGGAATTCCCATTCTTCTCAATGTTATCCATAATTTGTCATG